GTCAGCCTCAGCTACTGCCTTGTCGGTCATGATTCCTGCAGGTGACGCTGGCCCCGCCCACCAGGGAAGGGGCTCCCTGTAGTGTGGTGGGGCGGGTGTGCTTTCCCTGTCTGTGGCTGTTTGCTGTCAGGATGGAGGAATGGAGAACTGGCTATGGGGCTTGGACTTGGAAGGGGTCACAGCTCCTGGGACAGGAGGGTGAGGGCTGTCCTCATCTCTGACCATAGCTTTGTGTCTGCAGTGGACCCACATGGAGGCTCACCCCTTGCTAGTCCCATGTCCCCTCGATCGCTTTCCTCCAATCCATCCTCACGGGACTCCTCACCTAGCCGGGACTACTCACCAGCCGTCAGTGGACTCCGTTCCCCTATCACTATTCAACGCTCAGGCAAGAAGTATGGGTTCACACTGCGCGCCATCCGTGTCTACATGGGCGACTCAGATGTCTACAGTGTCCACCATATTGTTTGGGTGAGTTTCGTGGGCTGGGGAATGGGGGAAGGGAGCTTGGGGTGAAAGGCAGTGTAGTCTAGGTGAGACCTCTCTCACTCAGTTCTCTGGCCCCAGTTTCTTCCTCTAAGCAATGGGGAATAATGACTATTTCATAAAGAGCCAATGCAAAAAATGTGGACTTTTCTTTCTTTTCGACCCTCCAATCATGCCCCTGTGGGTTTTCCCACTTCCAGCACGTGGAGGAAGGAGGTCCAGCCCAAGAGGCAGGGCTCTGTGCTGGGGACCTCATTACCCACGTGAACGGTGAGCCGGTGCACGGTATGGTACACCCTGAGGTGGTGGAGCTGATCCTGAAGGTGAGCGTAAGGGAAGGGGCCTCGATGGGTGGAGGGTGGAACAGGACCCAGCAGCCTCTAATGGATGGCTTTACCTCCCTTCTCCCAGAGTGGCAACAAAGTAGCTGTGACCACCACCCCCTTCGAAAACACCTCCATCCGCATTGGGCCAGCCAGGCGCAGCAGCTACAAGGCCAAAATGGCTCGTAGGAACAAGAGGCCTTCCGCTAAAGATGGCCAAGAGAGGTGGGCGGGGCCATAAGTAGTCTATCCTCTTAACAATGGGTGGGATTAACGCAGAACAGAAGGGTAAGCAGTGGGAGGGAAGCAAAGACCGAGGACCAAACCCAGGCTGGGAAAGTGGGGGATCCAGGGAAGGAGACTATTTAAAATAAAGCATGTGGGTTAGCCCTTGAACAGGTTAGACCTGTTTCAACAGGACTTGGGAGGAGCTGGGATAAAAGATTACTACTGGCTGGGCAAGGGGGTGCATGCCTTTAATTCCAGCAGTCCCCAATCCCCAAGATTCAAAGACAGTGTGGTGGCAGAGATAGGCAGATCTCTAAGTTCAAGGCCAGCCTGGTCTATATAGTGAGCTCCAGGACAGCCAGGGCTATGTAGAGAGATGCTGTTTCAAAAAACAAAAATTGGCCGGGCGGTGGTGGCGCACGCCTTTAATCCCAGCACTCGGGAGGCAGAGCCAGGCGGATCTCTGTGAGTTCGAGGCCAGCCTGGTCTCCAAAGCGAGTTCCAGGAAAGGCGCAAAGCTACACAGAGAAACCCTGTCTCAAAAAACCAAAAAAAAAAAAAAAAAAAAAAAAAACAAAAAAAAAAAAAAAAAAAAACAAAAATTGAAACAGCCAAAGCGAGTTCCAGGAAAGGCGCAAAGCTACACAGAGAAACCCTGTCTCGAAAAAACCAAAAAAAAAAAAAAAAAAAAAAAAAAAAACAAAACAAAAATACTAGTTCCAGGACAGCTAGAGCTGTTACACAGACAAACCCTGTCTCAGGGGAAAAAAAAAAGGCTGAGCCACCAGGAATACAGTTAAGCAGACCATCTGGTGAGGGCACCCCTGTAATTCCAGCTCTTGGGAGGCTGAGGCAAGAGGATCTCTGGATGTTAAAGGTCAGTGTGGGCCCATACAGTAAGGGAAACAAAGAAACACAGTCGGACATTATTTAGTGATGGAGGAGTGTTACTAAAAATGCATCCTTACTTATAGGATTTCCTTCGGTGAATATCAGAGTGAATTTACACAGCTCACCTATAAGGTCACTAGGCCATATACTCATATAGGACTAACATAGTGTGGGTATTTGGAAACCGGTTCTATTATGAGCATGACTAATTTCTTCTCTCGTACATCGGAAGAGCTAAGAGTGTTGCCAGGAGTGTTGATATGTATGTGTGTGTGCATACCACAGAGGTCTTCATACCACGGAGCCACTTCCCCAGATCCAAGAGAAAAGTTTATTTATTTATTTAAAAATTTAAAAGATTTTATTTTAATTATGTGTAGGTTTGCGTCTGTGAATATGAGTGCAGCTGCCTGTGGAGGCCAGAAGAGGGCATTGGGTAGATTTCCCTGGAGGCTGGAATCACAGGAATTATGAGCAGGCTGTCCAACAGAGGTGCTCAGGTCCTCTGCGAGGGCACTATATCCTCGTAACCACTGATCCATTGCTCCAACCCCAAGAGAACAGTTTTGTTTTAGATTTTTAAAACTTGTATTAGGGTTTTGATGGCTTCTATTTATGTGTACCACATGTGTACCTGGTGCCTAAGGAGGCCAGAAGAGGACGCCAGATTCCTCTGGAACTAGAGTTACAGGTGGTTGTTAGATGCCATGTGGGTGCTGGGAATCCAACCCTGGCCCTCTGAAAGACCAGCCACTGTTCTTAACTGCTGAGCCATCTCTCCAGCTCCAAAAAGAACAGTTTTGACAGCTCGCTGTAGTGGCACATGCCTTTATTCCCAGCTCTGCAGTTGGAAGCCAGCCCGGTATACATAGTGAGTTTCAGGACAGCCAGAGCTACAGAGTGACCCTGTCGGGGTGGAGGTGGGGGCAGTTTTGATCCCTGGGTTTGGTCAGGAGTGAGGGTTTGAGTGAAGGAAGCAAATTAATCCAGTAAGTGGGTTGAGTGCAAAGGAGCGTGACTAGATTGTGGGAGGGGCCGGAAGGGCCCCATTTTGTTTGGACGGGATTTCTGACTTGGATTCCACGGGGCCAGAAAACAGTAGGCATGACCATCCAGGATTGAGCCAAGACTTCTGTTTTGATAGATGGGTTGTAGGAAAAGGGAGTGCTGGAACGGGTGCATGGTTACTGGGCTGTTGTGCAGTCCAGAAGCGGGAAGACTCACAGTTCCGGAGTTAAGGAGAGGTGACCCTTCGGTATTTATCCCCCAGCAAGAAGCGTAGCTCCCTCTTCCGGAAGATTACGAAACAGTCAAACCTGCTGCACACTAGCAGATCGCTGTCCTCTCTGAACCGGTCCTTGTCGTCCAGCGACAGTCTTCCCGGTTCGCCCACGCACGGACTACCGGCACGCTCGCCCACGCATAGCTATCGCTCCACGCCTGACTCCGCCTACCTAGGTAGGTTCTGCGCCTGCGCGGGGTAGGGGACTAGGGCACGGTGGTGCTCAGAATGCTTGCACCTTCTCTGGCCTGCAGGCGCCTCGTCACAGAGTAGCTCCCCAGCTTCCAGCACGCCCAACTCCCCCGCGTCATCGGCGTCGCACCACATCCGGCCCAGCACTCTGCACGGGCTGTCACCGAAGCTACACCGTCAGTACCGCTCTGCACGCTGCAAATCGGCCGGCAACATCCCGCTGTCACCACTGGCGCACACGCCATCCCCGACGCAGGCGTCGCCACCGCCGCTGCCAGGCCACACTGTGGGCAGCTCGCACACCACACAGAGCTTCCCAGCCAAATTGCACTCGTCGCCTCCTGTTGTGCGCCCGCGCCCCAAGAGCGCAGAGCCACCGCGCTCGCCGCTACTCAAGCGCGTGCAGTCAGCGGAGAAGCTGGGGGCTTCGCTGGGCTCAGACAAGAAGGGTGCGCTGCGCAAACACAGCCTCGAAGTGGGCCACCCGGATTTCCGCAAGGACTTCCACGGTGAACTGGCGCTACATAGCCTCGCCGAGTCCGATGGCGAGACACCTCCCATCGAGGGTCCTGGGACGACCCGGCAGGTCCCTGTGCGACGCCTGGGCCGCCAGGAATCGCCCCTGAGCTTGGGCTCGGACCCCTTGCTACCTGAGGGTGCCCCGAGGCCAATGGTGTCGAGCAAGGAGGAGTCCCCGGGAGGTGCAGAGGCTTGCACCCCGCCTCGCGCGACAACCCCCGGGAGCCGGACCCTGGAGCGTGACTTGGGCTGCACGAGGCACCAAAGCGTGCAGACTGAGGATGGCCCAGGTGGGGTCGCCAGGGCTTTGGCCAAGGCGGCGCTAAGCCCAGTGCAGGAACATGAGACAGGCCGGCGCTGTAGCTCCAGTGAGGCAGGCACACCCCCGGTGCCCATCGTTGTAGAGCCTGCCCGGCCAGGGGTCAAGACCCAGACACCCCAGCCTCTGGGCACAGACTCCAAGGGATCGAAGGAACCTGTCACCCAGGTGCCTCTAGTGCCTGATGCGCCAAGGGGCCGAGAGCGCTGGGTGCTCGAGGAGGTGGAAGAGCGGACCACACTAAGCGGACCTCGCTCCAAGTCAGCTTCCCCCAAGCTCTCTCCCGACCCCCAGACTCCAACCCTAGTCCCAACCAAGAATGTGTCCCGCAGTGCAGTCCCTCCGGCCCCACCTGCTTCCCTTGCGGTCCCGGGCACCAAACATGAAGCAGCGTTGAACTCCCGGTGTCCTGCTGAAGCTGTGACTTCCGCAGGCCTAACCAAAAGTGGAGCACCCAGCCCCGCACCTCTAGGCCCGTAGCGGAGCAGGCCTTTGGTCCTGTATGATGTACAGGATGTACAGATGCCTGTATACATATGTACACATATAAATAAAGTGCCCGTGCCACCTGAGATTTCTGGGGCTCACATTTCCTCCCCGGACAGGGGATGATGACGGCTCCTGTGCTTGGTACAAGTGGGAAGTCAAGCTTCCTAAGTCCCATCCACTGCCAGTTCCTCACATGATAACAGCTTGGGGCAGACCTCTTAGGAAGAGGTGTCCCGCCACTGTTCTGTGTCTTAGTGTCTGAAGAAAAAGGTAACTACTGGGTTCCTTTTATTGACAGCCTCTAGAGACATGTGTTGTTACACCATGTTGCAGATCATTTGAAAGCCAGAGAGGTTAAGGCACTATTAAGGTCTCCAGTTAGGAAGGGGCTGAACTGGTATTCAGATTCATAGCCAGGGCAGAGGGTACTGTAGTTCAGCAGCTTGTGTAGCGTGTGGCGGGCCCTGGGGTTCAACCCACCAACAAACCATCCCCCAAAACAAATTCAAGTCCAAGCTTGAGGCGGGGTTTCTCTGTGTAGTCCTGGTTATCCTGGAACTCATTTTGTAGACCAGGCTGGCCTCAAACTCAGAGATCCTCCTGCCTCTGCCTCCCGAGTGCTGGGATTAAAGGTGAGCACCACATCACCCAGCCAGTCCCTGAGTCTTAGTTCTTGCTCTGCTGGGCTTTTGGTCAGCTGTCCTCGCTACAGGGTTTACAGGCCTTCACCAGGGACTGGAAGGCCTTCCAAAAGGCAGGCAGCCGGGTACACAGTGTGCCTCCACCTCGGTGCATCTCCCCCAGGTTCCGATTCATGTCACCCACACAGGCCCAGGGCCCTTGAGGGGCCACACACCATTTGGAGTGGTCCTCTGTAGCACTGAAAGTTGGTGCAGACGGGCCAGGAAAGCCTGTCTGAGCCACATCAAGAACCTCATGGGTCCCGGAGCAGTTGGAAGACAGGGTGCCTTGAGAATTTGGCCAGAACTGGACCTGTAGGTTGGTGTCGAGGGCTGCTGCCAACCAGCCCGAGTACAAGTCTGCAGAGGAAGAAGGAGAGAGCAAGGGGAGGGTCACTGCGGGTCCCTCGGGCCAGTTTCCTCCTGGGAGCTCACTGTCTATTTTTGGAATGATGTGAACCTAAATAGCCCTTATCAATATGTCAGGTCACATCTGCAATCCTAACACTCAGAAAGTTGGAACAAGAGGATCTCAGATGGAGTCTAGCCTGCAAGGTACAGTGAGACCTTACCTCAAAACAAAAAAATAGGCTGGGCGTGGTGGCCCAAGCCTTTAAAATCAGAACTCAGGAGGTAGAGACAGGTGGATCTCTGTGAGTTCCAGACCAATCAGATACACATTGAGACCCTGTCTCAAAAAAAAAAAAAAAAAAAAATTGTCCTTATCAAACGATTTCACAGCCCTCTAAGGGAAGCATCAATATCCTAATATTTCAGATGAGCAGACAGACTCAGGTCATATCATATTGCACATCCAGAAACCAATATTTGGATCTAGGTCTGCTGGCCGATCTTGAACTGTTATCTTAGCCTCCATAGTGCTGGGATTAGATATGTACTGTCTGCCCAGCCGGCCTGTTGGCTGTTAGCTACTCATGGCTGTTACTGTAATATGAATCCCAAAGACATCTGTGTTCTAACTGTGGCTTGCCCTCAGGCTTGGGGATATTAGGGACCTCCCTCAACACCAGGACTCACCATCTCCAAATTTTCCAGATTTGGCAAAGCTCCAGAAGGAGGCCCCGGCTTGTGAAGTGAGTACTACACTGTTATTCCAGGGCTCATGGAGGACATGGTGGCCCTTGATCACCTCCTGGAGGTCAGGTAATTTCTGGGCAAAGATGCCTTCCAGCTTGTGGTCATAGACCAGAGGATAGGTATAGGTTAGCTGCTTGCCTGGAAGTCAAGGTGAGGAAAAATGTGAGACTGGTCATTCCAAGCAGTTTGAGACGTATACCACCTCAACGATTCTACTCACCAATCTTGAGAAACTGGGTGAAGGGAAAGGACACACAGAGTAGGGTCTGGCCATAGGTTCGAGCATTAGGAGGCCAGCTGTATGCACCAGAGGATGCTGGGGGTGGGAAGCGTGGCACACTGTGGATCAGCCAGAAGCCCCCTTCTTGGTCGAGGAGCAGAACACCTGAACCAGAAGAGGGAGGTCAGAGAAGCTGCTGAAAGTAGCCACTCAAGCCAGCCCATCTGCAACCAGGTGCGCGGTCTAAGGTGGCTGGAGACTTAGGTACAGGCAGAAAAACCAGGCCAAGGGTTTGATGGGGCAGATCCCCCACCCTTCATGCAGGTCAAAGGCTGGTTTGGGTAAATTTACAAGAAATTCGGGGCAGCTCCACGACCACCAGTCCAAGCCTCACCCTTTGTATGCCCACGGCTGTAAGAGTCCCAAGCTGAGCTGGATTTAGGAGGCTGGTCGTTGTAGAGTAGAAAGGCCAGCTGGGAGAATGCAGAGAGGCGACATAACTATCCTCCCTTCCCCGTGGAACCCACCACAGTGACCCAGCCCGGGTTTCCACAGCACCCAGTCACCTGGCTGGAGTTGTCTCGGTACAACGGCAGCAGGCTGCGGCCCACGGCTCCCTCTGAACTGTTGATGTACCCCACACCGTCGCGCCAACCCTCGGAGCTCTGGTCCATGTATTTATACTTCAAACCCTCCCATGAACTATCCCCAGACCCGCTGTGAGCTGGCAGCTTGTATACCACGAACCTGGAGGTCAGGGAAGACAGGAGGGGGGGGGAGGGATCTGAGTCGAAAAGCGCTTCCACCCCAGTGCCCGTGCCGGTGCCCACGCAGCCGTAGGGGGCAGTCCGGCAGCTACTGGCTCACCAGTCCACCGGCCGCCCGGAGTCTCCATAGCAGCTCAGGGCTTCGGCAGGGACCCACAGCAGCGCGGCCAGCAGCAGCGAGCTCGGCGCTGCCATGAGGCGACCGCGACGGAATCTGTGCAAAGACCCAGGATGGCCGGGTCACGAGGCCCAGACTCACTTCCCCTTAAAGTCCGCTGAGACCCGCCTGGGTCAGGGCTTTCAGGGCGACGCCCGCGAGGCCGGCGAGCGCCGGAGGCGGGGCTTCCTTTGGTGCGGTCCCTCCCGCGGACCCCGCCCCTCCAGCGCCCACCCCGCCCTCCTGCTTCTGGCGACTCAGCTCCGGATAGGCTCCACCCACGGACACGCCCCGCCCTTAGGCATGAGCTGTCAGATGATTCCTTAAAGCTCTCCAATTTCTGAAAATAATTTCCCCCATTTCCGCTCTACAACTCAGGCACATTTTGGGGGGTAGGTATCTTTGCCTGTATGTATGTTTGTGTATCATTTGCGTGCCTGGGCAGACCCAACTCTTTTTCCCTTTCTCTTTTTGTTTTGTTTTTTATTTTTATTTATATTTTGTTTTTTGAGACAGGATCTCACTATGAACGCATAGGGATCTGCCTCCCTTCTGCCTCTACTTCTGGAAAGTTTGTTTTAAATGCATGCACCAATCACCCTTGTCCTTTTTTTTTTTTTTTTTTTTTGGTTTTTTGTTTTGTTTTGTTTTTTTGAGACAGGGTTTCTCTGTGTAGCTTTGCACCTTTCCTGGAACTCACTCTGTAGTCCAGGCTGGCCTCGAACTCACAAAGATCTGCCTGCCTCTGCCTCCCGAGTGCTGGGATTAAAGGCTTTTTTTCCCCCTCTGACAGTTTTCTGATTCCTTCTCTGACCTTTTAACACTGTGGTTGACCCTTGAACTCCTGATCTTCCTGCCTCTACAACCCAAGTGCTCAAATCACAGAGATGCTCGACCACATTGTATATATGTGTAAGTGTGTGGGCACATAACAGGGCACCCAAGTGGAGGACAATCTGTGTGAGTTCCCCTTTCTGCCGTATGGGATTTGGGGATCAAGCTTGACATCAGACACCTTTACAGGCTAATTCATCTTATTGGCTCTCCTTTTTTTGAGGCAGGTCTCATTGTAGCTCAGGCTGGCCTGGAACGCTCAACTCTTGTTCAGCCTCCTGAGTGAGTATTGGGATTATAAATATGAACTATCCTTCCAGCTTTTTAAATTTCATTTTTGCATATCTGTGCATGCCCTCGTGAGCTTATGTATACCATATGCAGGCTGGGCAGATGCCCATAAGTGTTAGATCCCTGGCGCTGGAGTTACAGGTAGTCGAAAGCACTATTTGGGTGCTGGACCTGAACTCAGGGCCTCTGGAAGAGCAGCAGGTGCCTGTAACCACTGAGCCATCCCTCCAGTCACCACCCCTGCCTGTGCTTTTGGTTTTTGACAGGCTTTCACTCTTGGCCCAGACTAACCTCTAACTTACCATCCTCCTGTCTCAGCCTCCCATGTGCTGGGATTCCCAGTGTGAATGGGCCACCACAGGCAGCTGGGTCATCCCTGCTTGCTTAGGCACATTGCTTTCTGCGTCCTCTGTCCATTCTGCAAGTTTTCTCGTCTCCCTGTGACACTGACCAAGAGTCACTTGCGGCTGTGGTGAGGCAGGAATCTGGGGACTGCTGAGCACTCTACCACACACAGATTGGCTGTGTCACTCAGGACTTACCACCTGATCCTCCTGCTTCCACCTCCCAAATTTTGGGATTACCAGCCTGTAGCACCATAGCCCTGGCTGGTCTGGAACTCCCTATGTAGACCAGGCTGGCCTCCAGCTCAAGAAATCCATCTGCCTCCCGAATGCTGGTACTAGTGACCTAGACCTGCTTCCCACTCTCCTCCCTCCCCGACACACCTTTTTTAAAGACAGAGTCTCTATATTATGTAGCTCTGACTGGCCTCAAATTCAGAGATTCACCTGGCTCTGCCTCCCAAGTACTGAGATTAAAAGGCGCGTTACCACCATGTTCAGCCTTTTGTTGTTTTTACTTTTTGAGCCATAAATAAATAAATAAATAAATAAATAAATAAATAAATAAATAAAAACAAAAAACAAACACTTGGGAGGCAGAGGCAAGTGGATCTCTGAGTTCGAGGCCAGCCTGGTCTACAGAGCGAGTTCCAGGACAGTCAGACTACACAGAGAGACCCTGTCTCAGAGAGAGAGAGACAGAGAGAGAAACACACAGAGGTGAAGAAACTGTCTAAATCGCCCAGGATGAACTTGTTCTGTACAGGCATGTCTTGAACTTGGAACACTCCTGCTCCAGCCTTCTACATAGCTAGGATTACAGGCCTGAACTACCTCTATGACCTGCTTTGGCTGGGGCTTCTTAAGAGGAAGTAGACAGGCATGGGCACCCACACCTTTAAAACCAGCACTCAGGAGGCAGAGGCAAGATGACAGGATGATCTCTATGAGTTTGACGCCAACCTGGTCTACAGAGTTTCAGGCCAACCAGGGCACATAGTAAGATCCTATCTTTTTTGAGCCTGTCCTAGAACTCACTCTGTAGACCAGGCTGGCCTCAAACTCACAGAGATCCACCTGGCTCTGCCTCCTGAGTGTTGGGACTAAAGGTGTGCGCCACCACCGCCCAGCAAGATCCTATCTTAAGGGAAAAAAACAGGGGGATGGGGTGGGGAAGAGGCAGATGGCAGTTGTGAATGCTGACAACAGGTGACAGGATTGTGTAGACTGATCTTGATGGAAGAGAAGGTCTACAAAGTTAGCACTGTGGGGGGGGGTCATCAGAAATGAATGAGTTTTAGGAGACTTAGGAGGTGAGTGTGTGAACAGATAAGTGTATCACCTACTGGGGGATCAATGCTCCTCCTAATTCCCAGCCCCATATTACAGTGAGGCCGACACTGGTTTTATATGGGAGAATTTTATAGTACCCATGACAATCCCAGCTGATAGTGTGCAGGCCCCTTCTAGACCCTGGGAAGTCTCACCCCACTCCACCGCCAAGACTCAGGGTCACTCCCGCACAGGTCTAAGGGTCCATCTGAGTTGATTTATTTGGTAGTCTGTCTTGCTGGATCTGTGGGGCGATGTTTTTGTGTGGCTCCCTGAAGAAGTGGGAGGATCCTGTTGAGGGCTCCTTTGGGTCAGTTCTTGATCTGGCCTGGCTACCACTCCCACTGTATGTCCAAGAATGGCCCATCCTTCGGAAGACAATCCTTGGATCCACTCTTACTTCATTCCCAGTCCCTGTGCAGGATCGGAGCTCAGAGGTGGCGCTTCATGTGCAAAGCAAGGTGGTCAGAGCGCGAAAAAGCACGTGGGCAGAGTCCGCAGCAGAAGGGTCGCTGGCCGGTGTGTTTCCGGTAGTGGCGCGTCAGCTCGTCAGAGCGAGCAAACCTCCAGCCGCAGCCATCCCAGGAGCAGGCATAAGGTTTCTCTCCTGAAGGACAGGGAGTTGTGAGTACCACCGTACAAATCGTCCAGCTCCAATTTGCACACTTGGTGAGGTAGAGCCAGGCCTTAGGTGACTTATCTAGCTCGCGCAGTTGAAGAAGGGCACACAGTTCTGCCCTCTGTGACCCTGACCCTTTTCTGTACCTGCGGCTGCAGTCCTGCGGTTTTCTCATTTCTGGTCTCCTAGTTCTCTGCCAGAGACCTTATGTGGCTGCACCGTCGTGCTTTGTTCTCAGCGTTCCAGCTGCCCCACGCACTGACAGAGCCTCCTGCTCGTGTCCAGTCTTGCCCCTGAACTTGTCCAAGCCCTCAATTCCCCCCCCCCCCCCCCCCCCCCCCCCCCCCGGTGTCCAACGCCCTGTCTCTGGTGATTCTCCTTTCCCCTTTCTACACCTGGTGTGTGCCCTGCCGCGCTCGGGAGGCCCACAGCTGTCTTCCACTCCTGTTAGGACCCGGTTTCTCTTCCTGTCCCCAGTCTCCCAGCATTTCCTCCTTGTTTTCTGGCCCGCTTTATGTCTGGGACCTCCATCAGTTGCCCGTGAAAATGCTTCTACCTCCAGATCCCAGACGCTTCTAACCAGAGCATCCTGTGAAAACTGGCTATACCCCGAGTTCTGGCATTCCAAGCTAGTACCCTCCTCGGGAGTCGCCCCTCTAGTTCCTTCCCTCTTGCTAATCTCATCCTGCTTTCTGCTCGTCAGTCCATCTCTAACCCAGGTCATACACATCAGCTTCTAATCCTGAAGCCCCTGAAATATTCCCCAGGTCCTCTGTCTACACCTATCTATCTATCTATCTATCTATCTATCTATCTATCTATCTATCTATCTATCATCTATCTATCTATCTGTTTGTTATTGAGAAAGGCTACGTAGCCCTGGCTGCTGGAATTCCCTATAATAGACCAGGTTAGTCTACAAGTGACTGATACCCACATGCCTCTGCCTCCTGAGTGCTGGGATTCGCCCGGCCCCATTTGGGTCTAGAATTGCCCCTATAGACTTTAGCCAGTGTCTCAGGGGCCCACTGCAGGCCCCTAGCTCTGGGGTCACTTTTAGCCACGCCTCTGACACCCTCTGACCACCCCCTCTTTGCTCGCTTCCGGCTCCCGGGTCGGCCCCCACCCGCTCGGCTCCGCCCTTACCTGTGTGTGTGCGCAGGTGCGCCTTCAGATGCGAGCTCTTGGTGTAGCTCTTTCCGCAGCCCGGGTGCCTGCAGGTGTGTGCCGCTTGCCTCTTTCGTGCCAAAACTCTCCGGCTGCGCTTGGGCGGTGCGGCTCCCGGGGACAAGCCTGCGTCTCCCGCGAGCGCTGTGGCCCCCAGTTCTGTGCCCACCGCACCGGGTCCCAGACAATTCAGGAAGGAAGGGGGCGCGGCGGGGCCGGCAGACGGCGCCGTGAGCCCGCGAAAGAGCTGAAAATGCCCTTGGTACTGCGGCGCGGGGTACAGGGTGGGGTACCCTGACAGCAGCCCATAGGGGGCGCTGGAGGCCGCGGGCACCGCGAGCCCAGCCCGCGGGAAGAAACCGCCGGCGGAGCCCGCTCGCGAATCAGAGAACGCTGGCTGCACCTTGAGCGCGGATCCCGGGGCCAGGTCAGGGGCCACGAAGGGCTCAGGGGCTGGGGTTCGCGGGGCGGAGTGCGCCCAGCCCGAGTGCTCTTCGGAGCCTAAAGACCCGGCCACCAACCCAGAGCCACCTGCATAGACGCCCAGGACCTCGGGCGGCGCATACTGTGCCACCAGGCCCCCGCTGGGCGCCAGAGCACAGGTCCGGGGAGTGGCTGGCAGCTCAGGACCTGGGAAGTTGGTAAGGAAAAGATCCGGATCCCAGGCACAGGTCACATCCCGCTTATCGTCCTCGTCCTGTCCGAGAGGGGCCTGCGATTTCACACTCACGTGAAGGGATGGCCCCATGAGATCCGGGGGACCCGGGCCCAAATCCTGTGTCTCGTCAGGGTGCCACCACTGCGGGAGGGAGCGCACTGCTTGAATGGTAGGCACCCGGTACCTGGGCCTGATGCAGGCCCGGCTGGAAACACCATTGGGGCAGGTTGGTTCGAGGGGTTTGCGTGCCTATCACTTCCCCTACACTGTTCCCCTAACCCCCTTCTCAGCTCCAGACAAGCCCATTAGGTCTGGCTAGAGATAGATAAGACACTTACCACGAAGAGCATTCAGGATGGGGGAAGGGGTTGCAGAGTTCAGAACCGGAGGCAAAGGGGCAGCCTTGGCTCTGACTCCCCTAGCCCTCTCTGCCTTTTCACATCTCCCAACAAGATTAAATCTCAAAGCCTGGAAATCCCAGGACACTCCTTTCTGGGACTTTGTCTCTCTGAGCCTAGACTCTTGAGGCATTGAGCTCAGAACTCAGCTTCCAATTACAGAAATGGGCCTCATCTTGATCTCAGACCCCTAGAACAGCACCCTAGCCAGGCTCAGGCACCCCCCCCCAAAAAAAAAAAACCCTCAAGCAGAGGAGGATACTAAAGTAAGAGGGAAGCCCGACCCCCAAGCACTATGCCCTAGGTCACAGCAAGACCACCTGCTCCCCATTGGCCCCACCTTGAGGAAGTCCTCTTGGGGGTCCAGGAACTGGCCCAGGGTGGTCAGTGTACTGATGGAGGGTAAGGCAGTCTCAGCTTCGGCCATGGCTGGCTGGTGTCCACCCTGGGCCTCAGGCCTCTTCTCCCTCTTCTGCCTCATGGGCTATGAGCCTTGGAGGGCTCCTTGGAGGGCTCCTGTCTGCCCTCGTCTGATTGGCTGTCTTCCCTGATAAGAAAGGCAGCAAGGCAGGGTGGTGGTGGTGATGTGTGTGTCACTTTCAAGGGAACAGACCTCACCTTGGCCTTTTTGGGAACTGGTCCCTGAAATGCAATCCTGTATGTAAACTAAGTCAGAAGTCAAAGTGTAGGGCTCCAAAGTTTTGGGGTTCAGGTGAACAGTAAGGGCCTGATTTCCACTCACCCCCCAGAGAAATGAGAGGCCTCCCTGGTCTGGTCCCAGCTCTCTTCTTGGGGAAGCTGTGCACCAGGAAGGACAGATTTCTTGGGAAAGATCTTTGGGACCCTTTGACCCGCATCTGGGACACTACACCCCTTTGCCCTCCCCAACAAACAGCACCAGCAGTGCTAATGGCGGGACTTGGCACAGGCTCTCTTTCAGGCATTATCAGACAAACCAGATGTTTTCCAGTGCTATCAGGTAGGGGGCCCAGAGCAGCCATAGCTCTATCCCCCTAGAGCAGAAGGCTGGGGGTTGGTGCCACACATTATCTTGGCTTTGAATTGCTTGAGTTGTGTTGTAGTCTGAGCCATTTAGCAAGAGGGAGCCCCTCAAATCAGTCCACCCTTGGACACTGAGGACCCTCACTGAATGCTCTATGGAGCTGAAGGGAATGATTATAAACCCTGCAGTGTGGTGGGGTCCTCTGAGTGGGATAGAACCATTAGGTGAAGCCACAGTCAGTATGCCACTCAAGAGACCTCGATCCTGACTGGGCCCAGCTGCTGCTTGGTTTATGGCCCCCATGGTAGAGGGCCAGCAATTCTCATACCTCCATTCTTATACCATATGGTCACACATACACCATCATGCTTGGTATCCCCAAGGGACATCAGATCCACTAGGAAATGGCATCTAGCTAGGCATGGTGGTACATGCCTTTAATTCCAGCACTCAGGAGTCAGAGGCAGGCTGACCTCTGTGAGTTTGAGGCCAGCCTGGTCTACAGAGCTAGTTCTAAAACAGTCAAGGGCTACACAAAGAAACCCTGTCTCAAAAATCCAATAATAATAATAATAATAAAATAAATGAAAACACACATGTGCACTGAGTCCACACACATCCATTTATATACTTTAGTAATACTGGTTTTTTGGGTTTTTTTTTTTTTTTTTTTTTTTTTGGTTTTTCGAGACAGGGTTTCTCTGTGTAGCTTTGCGCCTTTCCTGGAACTCACTTGGTAGCCCAGGCTGGCCTCGAACTCACAGAGCTCCGCCTGGCTCTGCCTCCCGAGTGCTGGGATTAGAGGCGTGCGCCACCACCGCCCGGCTTGTTTTGTTTTTTGAGACAGGGTTTCTCTGTGTAACAGCCCTGGCTGTCCTGGAACTCACTCTGTAGCCCAGGCTGGCCTTGAACTCACAGAGATCCACCTGCCTCTACCTCCTGAGTACTGGGATTAAAGGCGTGCGCCACCACCGCCCGGCTAATACTGTTTTTTTGAGATAGGCCTCCATGTCCCAGGGCCTCTCTGTTGTAGCACACTCTACTTGGTGCGCAACATCTATTATCAACCTCAGGCTTGGAGCTTGTGACCTTCCTACACAGAGGGAGGAAATTCCAGACTGGAGTAAGTACTTGTTGACTTCTCAGGAAGCATTCATGTAACAAGCTCACTGTGTAGGCAGGCTAGCCTAGAATTTGTGAACCTGCCAGAGCCTCCTTAAGTAGGTAAGAGCCACCACATCCTGCTTTCCCATACACCTGTAAGTCATCTGCAGATTAATTACAACACCCAACACATTGTAAGTGTTAGATAAATGACTGTTCTGTTGGTCTTGGCTTTGTCTAACAGTTGATGGTGCAGTCAGGTGAGCCTGCAGACAGAATTCATAATGACAGTGACTGTTGGGAAGGCATCCCACAGCTATGCAGTCCTACTTATAGTCTGGCCACGCCAAGCAGACTCATGCGAATTCTCAAATGGTGTCACTACAATTATTAAATTTATTAAATTATTAAAGTCACATAACCCCATCAAACACAGACAGTCTCAGACACAAAAATAAACATGAAGGTTTCAGATATGGCTCAGTTAATAGAATGGTTGCTGCCTGTGGAATATTCCTTTATACTGTGTGAATATATGTTGATATGATTGGTTAAATAAAGAAAATTCTGGGAAGAAGGGTGGAGTCTGGAGTCGCCAGCAGACACAGAGAAGCAAAATGGACATGCCATACTGAGAAAAGGTACCAAGCCATGTAGCAAAGCATAGATAAGAAATATGGGTTAACATAAATGTAAGAGTTAGCTAGTAACAAGCTTGAGCTATTGGCCAAGCATTTATAGTTATACAGGCTTACCTCTGTGTGTTTATTTGGGAGCTGCTGGCTGCACAGAAACTCCACCTACACCTGACAACAATGAAGCCCTGGGTATCTTCAGTACTGAATAAATTGAGCATCCTAACACAGGAGATGGCTGCAGGAGGGTCAAAAGTTCAAGGTCAACCTCAGCTACATAATGAGTTCAAGGCTAGCCTGAAATATATGAGACTTTCTCAAAAACAAACAAAAACACAGCCATTCCACCCCTAGATCTATCTCCCAGAGAGTCAATAACAAGTACTGTTTAGCCACCAAGAGAAAGAGATGTCTGAATGTCCGTGGACAGGTAAATGGTAGACAAGAACACTCCCTGTACTCAAGGAGTAGTATCCAGTAATAAAAAAGAATGAAGTGTTGATGCATATGACAGGGACCTGGGGATGTGGTACAGCTGGTAAAGTGCTTGCTGGTCATAAAAACCTAAGTTCGGGCTGGCAGTGGTGGCGCATACCTTTAATCCCAGCACTCAGGAGGCAGAGGCAGGCAGATTTCTGTGAGTTCGAGGCCAGCCTGGGCTACAGAGAAGTTCAGCTCCCTAGCACCCACATGAAAGCCAGGTGTCCCCAGTGTTAGGGAGCTGGAGGCAGGAGGGTCCCTGGAGTTCATGGGACAGCCAGTCTAGTCAATCAGTGAGCTCCAGTGTCAGACTCTGCAGCCTTAAGTCCAACCTGCTCCTTCGACCCCTCAGCTGCTTCACAGCATACAGAAAGACATCCCCCAGCAAGCCTTGTCAGCTGGCCATGGGGGCATACACCTTTAGCCTTTAATCCTAGCACACAGGAGACAGAGGGAGGTGGATCTCTGAGTTCAAGGCAAGCATGGTTTACAGAGTTAGTTCCAGGACAGGCTCCAAAGCTCCACAAAGAAACCCTGTCTCAAAATATCAAAAACAAAACAAAACAAAACACTGAGCCTTGTCCTGCAAATGGCACTCAAGTGCTCGGTGCCGTGATGGTCCTAGTTTCCTGCTTCAGTTCTTCTGGCATTAATAAGGATAGGGGATTTGGGTAACCCCTTTATAAAACAAAACAAAACAACAACAACAAAACAAAACAAAAAAAACGTGCTCAGTACTGCCAGATACATAGTAACAGAATACAAACTTACAATTAATAATGTAGACAAGAAACCACCGTCAAGAGGCCTGGACACAAGCCTGGCATGGTGGCATGGTGGCATGGTGGCAAATGCCTTTAATCCATGTATTTGGGAGGTGGACACAGGCAGATCTGTGAGTTCCAGCCTGGGTTAAAGCGGGAGTTCCAGGATAGCCAGGGCTACACAGAGAAACTCTGGGCAGTGGGAAAGCAGGGAGGCTGGAGGCCTCTGAGGCTAAGAACACTTGCCATGGCAACACCCAGATCCAGGAAAGTCATAAGTTGACACCACCCAGGGATGGGGAAGTACCTAACATCCCAAACATTCCAACCATTAGATAGGGTGGCCAAATATCCCTGAGTCTAGCACACACCTATTTTTGTTTTACAGATACCCCTAGACAAATGTCATCCAATCAGGGTCCCGAATCCTGGAAATCTCCTCACCCCAACCTCTGCTATAATAAAAACACCATCTTTCCTGGGCTCTGGGCTCTCTGATCTCACCTCTGCATTGGACAGACAGAGGGACCAAACTCAGAGCTTGAGAATAAAGGCTCTTTGATTTTACATATGGAAAAAAAAAAAAAAAAAAAAAAAAACACTTGCGCTTTAGCAGATGATTGGAAGTATCCATCCACATGGGGGCGCAAACTATCTGTAACTGCAGTTCCAGGGGATACAGCCTTCTGGTTTCAGCAAGCAACAGGCACACACAACATGTGCACATACATACATGCAAGCAAAACACTCACACACATACATCTTTCTTTTTCCTTTTCCTTTTTCTTTTTTTGTTGTTTTGTTTTTGTTATTCAAGACAAGGTTTCTCTGTGTAGCCTTGGCTGTCCTGGAACTCACTGTGTCAACCAGGCTGGCCTCTTCCACCACACCCCTCTGCCTCCACACGCAGCTATAAAGAAATCTCTTAAGAAATGTTTTAAACTTCATAGACTGTGCTGAGATTGCAGTTCACTGGTAGGATGGCTGCTACACCTGTTCAAGGTGCTGAGTTTTATTTCCAAGATGGAAGGAAGGGAGGGAGGAAGGAGGAAAGGTATCACAAATACTTCCATTCACAGAGAGTTTACATCTGTAGACAGCCACTCACAGTCAACAGAGACATAGAAACAGTCACAACTCAGTACTGCCAGAGAAGACTCCTTGGACATGGGTTTAAACCAATAGGAAGTCTTTATTAGCAGGGCTTCAGGATCCCACTGTAGCCCTGAGCCTTTCTCAGGGTGAGCTTCTAAACACAAAAACCATATCCTGGGTTGACGTATTTCAGTTAACAAAAACAGGAGCCAAAAAACGAGGTTAGTTCATTCAGAGAAGAACTGTGCACTTTGATGGATTGGGTCTTTGTCTTTTTTTTGTTTTTTTGTTTTTTTGGTTTTTTTTTTTGGTTTTTCGAGACAGGGTTTCCCTGTGTAGCTTTGCGCCTTTCCTGGAACTCACTTGGTAGCCCAGGCTGGCCTTGAACTCACGGAGATCCGCCTGGCTCTGTCTCCCGAGTGCTGGGATTAGAGGCATGCGCCACCACCGCCCGGCGGGTCTTTGTTTTTATTTTTGGCAGGTGGTGTTGTCTATGTGCTGGGTTTATGTTCTGTCTAAGTGCCTGAATGATACTTCCATCATGGAGTCAATTGTGCTAAGGACTGAGGGACTGCTACAGGCTGAGGCTGTAAACCAATGCAGAAGTGCCTGTTTAATGTTTGGGAGGCCTTGAAGTTCGATACACAGTACTGGTAGAAAAAAGAGGGCCACTGAAATAGCTTAGCAGGTAAAGACGCTTCCTACCGAGCCTGACAGGCTGGGTTCAGTCCTTGGGAGCCTTATAGAGGAAAGAATGAACTGACTCCTCTGACTTCCCCAGGAGTGGCTTGGTATGCAAAAGTGTGTATGCACACACAGTGGACAAATACAATTCTCTTTTCTTTTCTTTTTTTGGAAAGGGAACCATTGGGTGGGGGGCGGTGCTGGAAAGTTGGCTCTGGTGGTTAAGAGCACTTGCTACTATTGCAGAGGACCCAGGTTCAGTTTCTCATATTTACATGGTGGCCACAAGTATTTGTAACTAGTTCGGGAGTTTGATCCCCTTTTCATATCTGCCCTGGCACCAGTCACACACATGGTGCACCTACATGCATGCAGGCAAAACATGCATACACATAAAATAGATCTAAAAGATTAAAACAGGGAAATTGTTGACTTGAGGTTGCCTTGGTCACCCCAGCACTCTACAGTCATTCAGATGCAATCAGACTCGGATGCTATTTGCTGCAGATTGCACAGACATTCACAGACACACTATAGGATACAAAGGTATGGGCTGGAGATGTAGTTTAGAGAGAATAATGGTTGCCTAGCATTTGAAAACCCTAGGTTTCACCCCCAGTATCCACCCCAAACAAGAAAGATGGAGAGACGGCTCCTTGGTTAACAGCACTGGCTGCTCTTGCAGAGGACCTGGCTTCAGTTCCCAGCACCCACATGGCAGCTGACAACTCTCTGTCACTCCATTTCCAGGGGACCTGACATAGTACATGTACACACATGAAGAA